GTTTTTTGCTGATCAAATTATATTTTTGATAAAAAAATCTGACCAATTTTCTTTTAAAACTAATATTCTATTATTTATGCTGTTTAAATATTAATTTTATACTGGTAAAATTGAAAAGAAGTAATTAAGTGATCAAAATGTACTGAAAATTTTATAAAAATTGGTGGGTTTAATTATTTCGCCATTATTTTTTACTTGGTTGAAAGTCTTTAAATGGGCTTGTAAAAAAATAATATATGTAATCAAATTAAAACTAAAGATAGAAAATATTGAGAATTTAGATATAATAAATGAAATCGTGCTGTTATTTTTTTAATGTTTTTTATAGAATAGAAAAAAAAAGAATTAATTTGAGAGATTGATCCTTTTTTCAGATATGAAATTGAGAATTAATATCTTAAGGTGGCTGAGGACCCATAGGAATTTGCCAATGGGGACGAGAGCCCTATAATCCCATTTTGCATATAATCGATTAGTTATTCTCATAGAGTGGCTATGTTAATTTCAACACAATTTTCATTTAGAAGAAGGGTATTTATAGAAACATAATTTAATAATAAGCGTGTAAAACATACTTCTTTAATAACAAAATATATTGCATTATCGGTCACATATATGTTTTGGATAGCCGTATCTTTTTTTATAAAATTGTGGGCTAATGAAACTGTTTGATTGGGAAAGGGTAGAGTGTTGGAAATGGGAGTCATGCCAGTAAACAAGGCCACTTCGACTATGACTTGCCCGGATGGAAAAAATCGTCTTAAATATCTATTTTTGCAAATGTGAACTAAGTTAGTTGTGTAAATTTTTATTTAAAAATAATTATATTACATCAAAAGTTTAAATGATATGATTATAATTTATAAATTACAAATTCAGGTGATTATTAAAAGAAATGCCTTATTTTTTAAGCTTCACACAAAGAAAAACATTAACTACCAGTGCAGTATTTTTTTATTTAATGTAGAGATTGGATAGAAATCTAACATGTTAACAAAACTTTTTATATGACATTTTGCTTCAGCTTCTTCAAAAAAAAACTTAGAAATATTTAACTTTATAGTGATGTTGAGTCCAATTCGCAATCTACTGATATGAGATCTTACTTCTTTGTTGTGAAAACTGAGCTGGAATGGATATCGATTATCTTGATTAAGACAGATAAAAATATTAAGCAAACATGGTTAATTTAAAAGTTATAAGGGTAGGGGGGACCGTGGTTATGCGGCAGATGGGGTAAAAAGACTATAACCTTTTCATCTCCATGGATAATTGTTTCAAATTTAGTCATATTATTTTTATACATATAGTTTACCTCTACCATATGTTTATTTAATAATGGGCGCTCTAAATTCTAAAGATATTGGCAAAAATAATTTTTTCCTCTTTTTTACCAATCTTTTTATTTGGTATTACTTGTTTTAAGACGAAAGTACTCTTTTGAGTTTTATGAAATTTAAAGGATATATTGCTACTGAATAAACTTGGTCCTGGATTTTTAGCTTACCTAGATAATTGCTAGTTATTCTAACTAACTGCCTCTAGTACGCCAAGGGGATAAACTGGCAAATTTGTGAAGCAATAAATTTCCAGGGCAACAACCCTACAAAATATTTTAAGCGAGTTTTCTGCCTGTATAATCTACCCACTATATGATATTCTTACCATATCGTTCTAGAAAAAACCATTTTGGATGACATTATTCCTAGTTATATCCAAAATAATGTTGATGTAAGTCTAGGAACAGCTGATGAATCTTTAAACAACTCATTGTCAAAGCAATGATAGCAGGCGCTTTTTTCTATGGGGGAAGGGGGTATGATGCAATATTGTCATTGAAATATACTAAGAGTAAATGGGGGAGGGGAGGAAACTAGGAGGGGAGGTATAGTGTTTCTAAACTAATTTTGATCTTTGCTAAGAAATATCTAGTTGGTAGTCTTTCAGGATGTAATATTGTCATTCAAGAAAAAATGCTAAGATTTTATATAATGCAGTACTTGTCCTGATTAGGAATACCCTATTGATGCCAGCAGGAATTATCTATTTTATGTCCATCTTTATTGTGAAGACTAATTAATTTTTAATATTCTAATTTGTTTTAATTGTGTATTAATTATAACAATAAAATATATAAAAAATAGTGTTTTGTGGGTCAAATTTGATATTTGTCATCTTTCGCCGAAGGGCTTAACTACCTAAGGTCGTTGTTAAATAAAAAAAGTATAATTTACTTAATCCTAAATGTCCACAGCATAAAAGGAAGAAAATCCCCGTTTTATAAATTTATCTAATGATGCAATTAGTTTAATTTTATAAAATAAAGATATTTATCTCAAAAGGGCAAAATATCTGCACTTCAGTAATTATTTCCATTTAGCACAGAATATAAAATATTGACAAAAATAATTTTTTATACAAGATTGCATAAATTGGTTAAAAAAAAGAAGATTTAAATTTAAAAAAAACTATTAAGGGAAATCTCATTTGTATCAATTGTCATATCAAATTGGCATGTTTCATCATTGAGACTTGGGTAAAAGTAGGTTTTCAAATGATTATCCAACGATGGAGCATTTTCAGATTGGGGGCTCAATTTTTTTATATGAAAATGTGTCTTTGAAGAAGTATAAAAATAAATGTAAATATAAATTATAAATTAACCATTCAGATATATTAGTTATATATTATCAATCATTTTAGCATAGAACAAAATCGAAAGAGTTGCTGGTCAATGAATTTAAAGACTGCTGTAAACAAATCTTTTGTTCAGTGGCGTAGCCAAGGCTTAATCTATGAGGGGGGTTTAATTTTTTTGGGGGGGGCTTCGCCCCCAAACCGCATTTTAAAAATTTGCCCATATTTTGTGTTTTATTAGTGTCTAACCACTATAGTAGCCAGCATAAATGAAAAAAATATTAGTAACAAAATTTTTTCTGAAAATTTTATCAATGTTTAGTCAATTGTAAATTAATTCAATCCATTCGGTGTAGAAAGAAGAATAGAATCGCCCCCCAAACCTCCCTTTTTTTATGATCACTCAAAATATCTAATTCTATGTTAAAAATAATTATTTTAAATAAATTTGCATATAACAAATTTTTCAGAGAATTTCATTATAGATTTTATTTATTATTTATACAATAAAATAAATTTCAAAATGTATAAATTTTATACAGATTATATTAAAAATTTATTCTAAATAACTATATTTAAAAAAAATAGAATTACAATAAAATAGTAATTCTGTGCGGTATTTAAAAAAATCTAATTTAAAAATTAAAATATAATTAATACAAAGAATATTAATAAAACATAAATAATTCTTATAAGAGATCCGCAAAAGTAGGAAAATCGGGTTCGGGCTTGGTCGGGCCTAATATTTTTAAAAAAATTCGGTCCGGGTATGTTAAATTTTTTATGTAAAATAAAAATATTTGATTTTATTTATAAAATCTAGACGCCATATAACATATATCTTTTATTTTGAGTAATTATAAAGTAATTATAAAAATGAATTTCTATATTTAAATAAATTCGGGCCCGGCCGGCAAAACATTTAAAAAAAAATTCGGGTTCAGGCCGGTAAAACTTTTCGGGCAAGGCTGGGCTTGAAAAATTAGGCCCAATGCAGATCACTAATTCTTAGTGCAAATGCAATATTTTTATTAGAAATATTATAATATATAAATATTATGAGTTAGAATTCATTACAATTACGTTTTGAATATAAAAATTTTATGACTAAGATCATATTATAATAATATAGCAATTTTTTAATTTGAATTTATAAAGAGAGGTCTACTTTTCTCTGAGATTTGACTAATTCATCTATATCAAATTTTTATCTAGAATAATCTCCTTATAAATATTTAATATTGCGAATCCATTTAAACGGCTTTCACCGGTGCTATTTCTTAAATAGGTTTTTAACCTTTTCAAAGTTGAAAAAGACCTTTCATTAGTGAAGGTGCTAATCGGTAAGGTAGCTAAAATTAAAAGCAATATTTTGATATTAGGCAATGAATCTAAAGTCCAATTATACATGAAAAGGGCCTGCAAAGCATATTTTGGTCTCAAAGAGTACTTTATTCTGTCAAAATTTTTATACCAAAATTCAACATCACAAAGTTAGTTATATCATACGATTCTGATAATTCATCAGAATAAAACTCTGAGATTTTCTTAATATCCTCTCGCGTTTCAAGTGTAATTAGACTCAACCGGCAAAAGAAAATAAAAGCTGTTTAATAAAATTGTGACTAATAAATCTTTCCTTTAATTGAAATAAAAATGGATCAATAAGAGGAGTAAAAATTTTATTTTTTAAAAATCCGCAATCGTAGATTCATCTATTTAAGCGATTGGACTATCTAGAAACTACTCTAGGTTTAAATTTTTTAATCCCAAACATATTAGCGATCACCTTTACTTTCTCATTACATTTACCAAATTAAATAATTTTTCTTTTATTTAAAAATTATTAAAAGTTAATTAAAATTTTTAAAACTATCTAATTAGTTTAAAATATAAATATTATTATTAAATTTATAAATATCTAATTTAACTATGCAAGAAAAAATTTACAATTTTTTATTGTTATTTAATATTTTACATATAATTTTTAATATATATTTTTAAAGAATGTTATCATTTAAAATTGAAAATTCTTATTTGTTTTTTAAAATATTTTTCATTTTCATATCGTATATAATTTTATTTATAAATTGACATTTTTTAAATAAAATTATTCGCAATAAGAAAAATTTTTTTAAAAAAAATTATTTTTCGGAGGTTATGGGGGGGGGGAGGTTCAATCCCAACCCCCCCCCTTCTCTACGCCACTGCTTTTGTTAAGTATCATTAATATAGTGATATGTGGTTTTATTGAAAAAATTTTGACAATATCACTTAGATTCAATAAATTAAGAAACATCAAACAATATATGAATCTTTAATAAACAAATAATATTTATGCAACGATATACATTATTCTGTTCCCCAAACACACAAGGAATCTTCTTTTTGTAAAATTTGGAAGATATTTGATTGATGAAATAGGTTAAAGCCTGCAAACCAATTAACGTCTAAAATTTAATAATATTGTAAATTAGATTAAAAATAATTTATTCATTAAATATTATGTTAAATATAATCTATATTTAAAAAATGATTAGTAAAATTTGAAAATATATAAAGAACAGAAAAATTAGTTAGTTAACGGTCTGTTTTTTTTTCTATTTTAGCCTAAAATTGGCGGGTTGTCCTTTAGAAATATAAACAATGTTGGATGGGGGAGGGAATTTTATAAATATTTTGCTGACTTCTTATATTAGGAGGTATTTTTTTTAGGGAAATATTTGTTTCATAGTTTTAGGGCACTGTCTTGGTGCTCCAATATATAATACCCGATTAATTATTACTTATTTATCAATCAGTGTTTCCAGCCAATAAGCAGAAACTCATTATAGGCCAAATACAAACTATAATGGCACGCCTTAGATTGAGTCTTAAACATCAGATTTTATTGAGATATCTAGGTTTCTTTCTCTCTTTTAAAATATTTTGAATCTTATAATTCTACGATCTTTATAGATAATATTTATTCTATTTAATAGTTATAGAAGTAAAATGGTTAAAATCTCATTATATTTTGAATCGATAATATTTTTAAAATTTATATAAATCTGAATCCCTATATTAAAAAAATTCTAAGTAGGAAGCTAGCCAAATTTTTTAAATATTTATTCTATAGCTTAGACCAATATGAACCGTTTGGTAAACAGTAAATAAAAAAGGTTATTAGCAAAATAAGAAAATTTCCATAATTAGATCAAGATTCAAGGTAAAACGAAAAATATAGAAGTAATAAAGCAATTACAATTATAACAAAAAAAAATTAAATTGATATAGATAAATAAAATACTATAATCATAAAAAATCAATTCTTTGTCGTATTTTATATAAGATGCAAAAGGTAAAGGTACAAAAGCTAGAATGATGGAAGATTAACATTACTATGACACAATAACACAATATAATGGAAGATGGGCTAAATTTATTGAGTTAGCTTGAATATTGTATATGATCATGCGCCGCAAGCAAAGGCTTATGTAGGGTATATGAGAAAATATATCGAGAAAAACTTTATAAAAATAGAACCGTAATTAACCTGGGAAAGATTTAGTTTTAGAGCATAGTGTTGGCAAAAAATTCCCTAATATTTCTCCAAAAGAAGAAAACTTTAAAATATTCCTAAAATTAAATGGGGTAGGCCAACAAATATGCATTTCAATCATTACTTAAATTCAAATGCAAATTTTGAGGATAGAGAAACAAGCCCGATGGGGAAATGATTATATCCGAATTATAGTAAGAAATAAAAAAAAATTATATAAAGTATGGCATAAGGCAAAGTTTTATGAGAATATGGAAGCCTATCAAAGAAATACGAATGTGACATAGAAAAAGCAGAAATTTATAAAGGTATACACAATAGCTTATATTCAGAAGAAGGGGAATAAAATATTTTAAATCGCGCGAGGGTATGGAGACTTTATAACTTAGACAAGGTCGACAAAATATAAATATAGGAGGTACTCAAAAATGAAATGCATATCGCAGAGAGATGGAAATAAATGACTAAATGATGAGCACAAAATTACAGATGGTTTAAAATTTCCAACCCCTCAAATAGTTGAAAGTGTTTTAAAACCAAAGTGATTGATGCTCTCAAGATTGAAGGATAAAAAAAGCAGGCGCGTAGCCAGAAATTTTCTACGGGTGGGGGGATAATCTTTTAAATTTTTTGGATCTAAAAATTTATTAGAACTAATCATATAAAATTTATTAAAACTAATCATCATATAAAATTTATAGAACCAATCATATTTGAAGATATGATAATTTCGAACACAAATAATAAAATATTGGAAAATTATATTAAGAGCAAATATAATACGGTTAAAAAATATTATAGCTATAAACCGGTATGTAAATCACAATGCCAAATTTTTAATAATTGTCTTATGTTGGGGATTAGATCTCTATGAGTAAACCTAGTCTATTCAATCAATTTTAAGATGTCTTAATTTAATATAGGTTTTTATGCTTTGTAATGAAGAAACCTCTCATTTGTGCTTGTATTATTTGTATTGTCTAATATAAAATAATTTTAATAATTTGGAAATCTTATAAAATATATTTTAAAGTATGCGATGCTTCCACTGTCTTGGAAGATAATCTACAAAAATGAATCTTTTATTCATACTATTTAAGTTCTGAAATTAATTTGCCTTCAGATACATTTATATCCTATGAATAAAATTTAGCTAAATATTTAATTTTTCAATATCAAGATGTATTTGTAAATTGGATAGAGCCATTTAATAAATTACATATGTTCATTAATTTGAGTCAAAATTCCAAGGTGGATTAAAAATGGTCATTTTATAATAATCCCCAATTGAGTCCACGTTAATTTTGGAACGATTTGTTAGTCGTTGAAAGTCGAGGCTTATATCTCTAAATCATATAATTTCGGGTTCACCTCAACAATCTCATAAATCTCGAGAAATTCCAGGTTGATATTATCTTTTGGCTTTCTAAGTTGTAATATAATAATACTCGTAACTTCAGCCAAATTCATTTTTTTTGAAAAATATTGCATAAATTGTTGTGTAATAAATAATTTATTAATATATTCCAATGAAAAAAATGGCAGCCATATTAAATCTAATAATGCATCGCTCAGATAAAATATCTGTTTTAGGTGATTCTGATATTTCTTCAAGGGCATACAAAGTATGCTCTTCTAGATCCAACAAATAATGTAGCGTGATGTCGAAGGCTCCATTTTGTCGCGCAGGCTTTTTACAGTTTCTTTTTTCCTATGGCACAAGATATTTTAAAATTAATTATATTCAACAAATTCTGTCTTTTTGGATATCTGAGCTTTTTATGTATTCTAGAAATTTTCCAATCATAGTTGTTAGTAGAGATAAATTAATAGTTTTTTTTTGGTTGATAAAATTTTCTTATATTTATCAGTCTTTAAGGTTTAAAAAATGTAAGAAAATAACTTTAAATTTTCGTAAAATAAAATATTAATATACAAAAAAATAAATATTTAAATTAATTTTAACTTTTGGCTAATATTTAGAATAGAATATAATTTTTATATTTTTCCAAAAATTCTTGCTACGGGGGGGGGGGTTAACCCAACCCTACAAAAATAAAAGGACATTCAAGAATCCAAAAATTATAGGGGGGTTCTTAGTATTTTTAAATTTAAATAAATAACTGGCTATATGAAATGAATATTGAGAATATGTAATGCTAAGCTGAACTAATACAGATATTATTTATTTAAAATTTAAATATATTGCTAGATATGACTATTGTAATGATTTAAAATGTTTAAAAAAAAATTCTTATACAAAATATATTGTATTTTTTTTTTATTTTATAAAATGTAATTTAATTTTAAAGAAGCTAGGTTTAATAATTACATCAAAATGAAGTATGAATTTCTGTTGATTAAGTATGCGATTTAGCGAATGAAAAATATTTTTGGCCTTTTCAAATCTTCCCAGCCTACTCATGATCATCAAACTATAACCCAAAGTGTCTATATCATTAAAACTGGCTATAGGCGTCTTATCTATAACGATTATTTTTACAAGGCAAAATATAATTTAAAACCAATTTTTAGAAGACGAATGTTGAGGTTTTATAACAATTATAAAAATTAATAAAGAAATTACACCTAGATCCTGTGACAGCATATTTAATAACATCCCTATATCTAGTTCCGCCTTGTTGTTATTCGTGTATAGAACTCTTGCATAGAGTGATATAGCTAAGATATCAGTATTATTTGATTTGCTTTGGGATAAGAAGGCATAGGCTTTATCTTTGGACCTTTTGAACCTTAAGCTCTAAATAAGCGCATGTGTTAATATTTTTATTTTCTATTACAATGCTATGAAAATATAATGAATCATAAGAGAAATATATTAAATGGAAGCTTATATTTGTTCATCCAATAAGTGATAGAACACTAAAACTAATTAACTTCCCAATTTTTAAATATAATAACACATATATTCGATTCGAATATGAGTTATTAAAAAATTTATTCGTCGAATAAAAAACTTTTCATTATTTGACGAAATATTTCAAAATTATTCGTATTATTTGAAAGTTTCATTATTCGAAATTGTAGGTATATATTCGAATTTATTCGTAAACCGAGATGCGTCAATACTTCTAATTTTTTGCCGATGCTATGAGCCCAATGTCCTAAATGGAAAAAATTTATTAATGAATTTATTAATTTTGAAGAAAAAAATAACAAGCTATTTTTAATGTAAAAATAAAATAAAAATAAAATAGTGTTCTAAATCATTTTCGTCATTTATACAGAAATTTTTTTTTTTAAAAAAATGATATTGACACTATTTTATTTTTACATTAAAAATAGCTTATCTTATTTTTTTCTTCCAAATTAATAAATTTACTTATTTATATTTTTTCTAATTAGGACACAATTTTAATAACAAAATAAAAAATACAATTCATCTAGCACTTCCCTCTTTTTCAGACTGATATGTTTAAATATATTTTTATTACCTATTTTTCTTTTGTTTTCTATCTTTTAATTTTATTATTTTTTTGAATAGATCTTAGATAAAAGAAAAAATATCAAATGATATATTATATTAAATTAACTAGGTTTATGTTGGCTCAATTTAGAATATTTCATATTCTTTATTTAAGTTTATAGAATATGATGTATGTAGATAATAGAGTTTTAACTAGTCACAATACAAATCACAATCACAGGAAATTGTTAATTTGAGAAATAAAAATTACGTAAATGAATAAGTGAAATGTGTTATGAAAAATGGCATGTGATTCTGATTGAGATTCAGATAAAACAATATCATTACTGAGGATATTTCTAATATTTAGTTTTCGGACCTCGTGTCGGCCTCTTACATCCCAAACTGAGCCCTAGAAAAATACTTCTAATGTAGGAGCCGATCTGAGCAGCCTATGTAAGGTTTCAGATCCCGTTAAAACGTTAAATTAATAATATTCAGAAAATAAATTTCAAATTCATACTTTTTATTTTATTTCATCATTGGCGTATTTTTTTAAAAAAATTCTTTTATTTTTTGAAAATTCTTCTAAATTTTCTTTTTTTCAAAATTAATTTAACATGTATAAATATTTGCAGTAGCACAGGTATTACCTCCCCCCCCCCCCATTCGCCCTCCCCCTTCCAAAAATTGTTGTTTTCTTATGCCTCTGTAAGATCAGAAAAATACAAATTGAAATTGAATATTAATATTCTAAATTAAAAATATATAAATTATAGGCATATATACATATATAAATAAAGGAATTGAAATTTAGTTAATAATAAATAAAATCTAGACACCCTCTAGACTAGTAATTTCTAAACTTTACTTTATAATGACATTTCGGACACTCTTCTAATGTTTTTAAGATAAATGAGGTTGTCCACACTTTATTGTCAATACTGTTTATGTGATCGTGTAATTGATAGGTGTTATCGAAGTAGGAGCCATCTTGGTCTTGCTGTTCGATTATCCTATTGAAATGGAATTTGTAGGATTTATATATATAATTACAATTTAATATTGGTAATAACATTACGAAATTATCATACACATCTATCAAAATATATATAAAAGCTAAAAAATATGTTATCAAAATTAAAGGAGAGCATTTAAAATTCAAATAAGTAAGGTAGACGGCTCAAATTAATAAGTAATTTATGGTAATCATAGTTACTTGGGTAACACTAAAGTCCTCTAGACCCACCCAACAACACTACCCTCCCCTCTCCCTCCATAAATGAAAAATAAAACAATTTGATAATAAAATGGATACTGAGTGTTAGTGTTGTTAATCGACTAAATTTAGTCGACTAACAGACGACTAACTAATAGTTCTAGTCGAAAAATTCGACTAAAAACTTTAGCAACTAAATTAGTCTATTAGTCGACTAATTTGGTCGACTAATTTAGTCAACTAAAACGACTAATTAGTCGACTAAAAGGACTAATTAGTCGACTAAAAGGACTAATTAGTCGACTAAAAGGACTAATTAGTCGATTAAAAGGACTAATTAGTCGACTAAAAGGACTAATTTAGTCGACTAAAACGAAACGACTAATATAGTCGACTAAAGCAACTAATTTAGTCGACTAAAGCAACTAATTTAGTCGACTAAAACGACTAATTTAGTCAACTAAAACGACTAATTTAGTCGACTAAAAGAACTAATTAGGTCGACTAAAAGAACTAATTAAGTCGACTAAATAAGTCATAATCGTTATTTTTGAACTTTTTTTAAATTTTTTAGCTAAAAATATATCTTGTAAAGATGTAAAAATAAAATTTTAGTGAAGATGTACCATCATAGAAAAATATTAATTATCAAAATCGTTATTTTTGAAAAGTAAATAGGTAAAAATATATATATTGTAAAGATGTTAAAATAAAATTTCAGTGAAGATGTACCATATAAAAGTGACAATTGTCATAATCGTTATTTGTGAACTATTTTGAATTTTTTAAAACGAGAGTAACACCCTGTTAGTTAGAGAACAGTACGGGCTGTCCGTAGCCCAACCCGACTAGACAAAAAAATATTTTTGGTTCAGGCTCGGGTCAAGCTGTAAAGGTGTTCGACCCGAAACCCGACTTACCCATAAAATAAATATTAATATAAATATTCTAAATAACCATTATAATTCATAATCTCAATTATAAAACCATATAATTTTTATTTATCACATTTTATCCTTAAAATGTCAATCATAATAACATGTCATTTTTAATTATTATTATATAATTTACATAACAACCATATTGTTATAAATGAGATTTATATTATATATTATCAATGTTATAAATGTCATATATATATATTATCAATGATATAAATGTCATAGATACAATTCAATCATATTAATATATTTCATGAAGTGATTGCCAGTTAAATAAACTTAATTAGTATATTGGCGACGTTGTCGATGATTTATTATGAATAAAGAAGACAAAAATAAAGTAATTATGAATAAAAAAGAAAAAAATGATAACATTATGATCAAATTCGATAATTTCGATAATCAAAACAACTTTGCTGATTACATTGAATATATTGATGATATGTTGGAGATAAGAGGTATATTAATAAATAATGAAACCAAAAAAAAATATTATTTGCGTATATGGGTATTAGTAATTTAGCTGAAATGAGGTCCTTTGTTTATCCAAAAATATTGAAAGATCTTAATTATGAAGAGATTATTGAAGTTGGTAAGAAAGTTTTTAAGCCTATTTCAACATTATTTAGCTCGAGAATTAAATTTATTCGGATAGAAAGAGGGGTTGGTGAATCAGTTGCGGAGTTTGCAGCTCGACTTAAAAAATTGGCTCAAGAATGTAAATTTGAATCTGACCTAGATGGGAGATTGAGGGATCAGATGGTGGCTGGAATCAAAATGAGTGCATTGGAGAAAGATATTCGCACTAGATTTCCAGATGGAATAAATGACTTAGGAGAAATGGTGAGTTTTCAACAGGTTTTAAATATGGCTTTGGCAATGGAAAGGGCTGAGGATGAAGTGACAAATATGATGGTAAAAAAAGTCAATAAACCTAAGGAGCAGATAGAGAATAATCAAGAAAATTTTTCAAATCAAAAGTACTCATATAATAATAATAACAAAGAAAAGGGTAATTTTAGTTATTACAATAATAATAATTTTAAGTTTAGAGATAACAATAAATTTAACAATAATGATATGTATAAGTTTAATAAATGCTCAAAATGTGGAAGAACTCATCCCCCTTTTCAATGTTTTGCATCAAGGGTGAAATGTTATAATTGCCAAAAGGTAGGGCATTATGCTAAATATTGTAAGGGACAGAAGTTACATGCTATGCATATAGATGACAATGATTCATCAGATTCAATTAATAATATATCCCAAATTGGTAGAAATAGTGCAAAGATATTTGTTTGGATTAATGGAGTACCTATAGAATTTGACTATGATACGGGGGCACAGGTATCGGTGATTGGGAAACAATATTGGGATGAAATTGGCCGAACCAAACTTGGACCAACCAAACCTTTATCAGTATATGGTAACCAACCGCTAGATGTGCTGGGTGAAACTATGGTGAGGGTTCTTCTTGGAAAGATAAGCAGATCACTACCGATTGTGGTGACTGGTTCAAATGACATTCCATTATTTGGACTACCATGGATACTGGCATTTAAAATGTTTATTCCACGACAAGTGACTATACGTAGTATCACAAATAAAGAGGTTATGACAACCAATAAACAAATTGCTGGCATGACAACAGAATTTATTAGTGTTTTTGATGACAAGCCTGGACGGGTGAATGTTATAGAAGTTAGCACACATTTGAGTGAGGCAGCAAGGCCGAAATCATGGCCAGCTCGTAGAGTACCTTTTCCATTACGAAAACCAATTGAAATGGAACTCGATAGTTTGGTTAAATCAGGAATATTGAAGGCGATTGATCCAACACAAAAACGATTGACATGGGCCACTCCAACGGTAAACGTACGAAAAACAAATGGAGAAATCAGGATTTGTGCGGATTTTAAGTGACATTAAACCCATACATTTTGTACGATTATCATATTATACCAACGGTGGATGATCTTTTAACCAAATTAAAAGATGGATTGAAATTTACGGTAATAGATTTGAAAGATGCATATTTACAATTACCAATAAAAGAAAGTTCAAAAGAATACTTAACCATATCGACCCACATTGGTTATTTCCAATATCAATGTATGCCTCTTTCTAGTGCGCTGACCATATTTCAAAGATATATGGACAATTTATTACAAGACTGCCAAATGACTGGAGTATATCTTGACGATATTATCATAACGGGGAAAAATGATGTAGAACATTTGAATAACGTAAAAAAAGTACTAATGAAACTAAAACAGGTGGGTATGAAGGCAAAATGGGCCAAAATACGTTTTTTAAATGAATCAGTTTCTTTTTTGGGTTTCGTAATAGACAAATATGGAATACATCCAGCGAAAGAAAAAATGGATGCTATTCGAAGGATACCAACTCCTAATAATATACACCAATTACGATCTTTTTTAGGACTTGTGAATTATCACGAGAGATTTTTGCCACATCTACATAGAATTGCCGCTCCTCTGCATAAATTAACAAGCATTAAATCTTGCTGGGGTTGGTCGGACAAGGAACAAGAGGTATTTGATAAAATAAAACAGCTTTTGTCAACAAATAAAACGCTAATTCCATATTCGCCAAACTTGCCAATTATATTGGAATGTGACGCTTCCAACACTGGTTTTGGAGCTGTGTTATGTCATTTAGTGAAAAAAGACATTAGCAGACCAATCGCATTTGCCTCGAGAACACTTCTAGAGTCAGAGAGAAATTATGCACCAATAGAAAAAGAGGCACGAGCACTTTTGTTTGGTATGGAAAAATTTCATACATTCATTTTTGGTCGAAAATTTTTATTACGAACAGATCACAAACCTTTGGAAAAATTATTTGGTGATAAACGGGAACTACCAAAAATATCCAATAGTCGATTAACGCGCTGGGCTTGGAAAATGTCCGCATATGATTTTGATATTGAATATGTTCCTGGAAAAGATAATAAAGTAGCTGATACATTATCTAGACTGCCAATAGATGGCATAAAATCAAATAATGATCAAAAAAACGCGTTAAAAATTAGAGCTATAAATTTGCACGATATAAATATTAGTTAAGTTGAACTCCAAAAGGAAACAAGGAATGATAGCTTGTTTAAAAAAGTAGTTAAAAACATTGAGCATGGATGGGTGGAATTTGATGCGAAAAAAAATACAGAGTTAGTTTGTTTTTATAATCGTAGAGAGGAATTGTCAGTAGATCATGATGTTATTGAATGGAATGGGAAGTTGGTAATTCCAACCATTTTGAGGAAATCAATTTTAACGATTATACACAGAGGGCATCCAGGAATAAATGCTATGAAATCAATTTTTAGAATGTATTGCTGGTGGCCGAATTGCGATAAAGATATTGAACAATATGTTCGTCAATGTATGCCTTGTCAAAGTAATCGGTCGAATATTATGGAGGTTCCTTTTTGATTATTTACAAAAGAAGAAATATTATGTGAATAAAAATGTGAATTTATTAGCAACCATTAGGGATGATGATTTTAGAGCTTGGACTTCCGAAGATAAAATTTTGCTATTAATGAATTGCGGAACTTTCATTAATGAACAGTCATCAATATATAGCTTATATTACAAGAATTTTATATATCCACCTATCTTTTATGACAAAATTACTTGTGATTTTATTTCTTTTGATCACGTATTAGAACATAATATAATTTATGACAAATTAAAACACATTGACATGCTAAAGTTAATCAATATATTTCAAAATGAGACTAATATGTATTTGAGATTAGGTTATAATCTGCAAAAATGTTCTATGTCATTATGTGATAAATCATTACTAATAATAGCAAATACTTCACTTA